CACAGCCAGGCCTGGTAGGCTGATTTGGCTTGTACTCCTGTGCCGAACTTGCCAGTGTCTTCAGATGCAGAGGAGAAAACTGCGTCACTGCTATCTGGGACGTACCATTGGTTCTTATTTGTCTATTCCAGCAATTATGAACAGAGATCACTGATATAAAAATGGACTGGTTGATAGTAGATACTGTAAAGGGCAAAAGGTTTTTTGTGTTTGTTTTTTCTTGTCTAATTCTCTCCATCATCCTCTGGAATATGGACTAATTCTTAGTGAAATCATTTAAACTTGTTATAGTGTCATGTAAACGTAGCCTTAGAGATAAAATCATTGAGTGAAATGGGCAACTTCAAGCCCACTTTTCTTTGCTTTCAGTGGCTTAAACACTGAGGTAAATGAGAGAGAAGTGCGTTTCTTTTTATTTGTAGAAAGGATATCACTCCTCTTGACAAAATTTACAACTTCTAGAAGTATGCAGCCATTAGAGAACTGAAGGTGCTTCTTGACCTGCATACTGGTAGGCTGCACAGTTAAGTTCCTGTTAAGACATCATGGGCTGTAGAGGTGCTAGCAAGCGCATTAAAGCCTGTATTAATAAAACAAGCCAAGTCTTGTTTTCATGCTGTTGGTGATGCCTTTCAATTCTAAGAACAAATCTAAAGATAAAAAGAAAATATTGAAGAAAGCTTTTTTTTTTTTTTGTAAATGTCACTTATTTTTTATATCAGAAAAACAAAATGGAAGAATAATAAATGCAAAGCAAGCACATACTTGCTTTGCTCACATGCTCATTTACTTACTCTCTTGGTTAAAGCTTTGGCTTTTGGGAGCAGGATTTCCTTGTATAGTTTTGGCCTTTTCATGTTTGATTACTCCAACTTCGAATTGGCACCAACTACTAAATTGACCTCAGCTTTATGTGACAAAACTAATTCTAAATCTTAATCTCTATGAGAAAGGTTGAACCAGTTTGAATCCAAATGCAATACAAATTATTCCATCTAAGTGCACCACAGGCATTAACAATATGTGGCTTGCTCCAGAGGCCTGTTCCAGAAGCTGTACTGTGAACTGACAGCCTTGCCTGTGATGCTGCCTGACCCCAGAATGGTCAGGCTCTGTCAGCAGTGCACACCTGGGAGCTGGCCAGGGCTGACAGAGTGGGAGGAGGAGACCTGAAACAGCTGGAGCATATAAAATTCTCTTTGAAAATTCAGTTGTTTGGGCATCCAGTTCAGTTGGTCTCATGTCAGTCAGATGTTTGGTTTTGGTTTTGTTTTGTTTTGCTTTTCTTTTAAAAGTACATGGAAGTCTTGTAGTAATTTCTAATTTTTCCTGTATGTCAAAATGCCAAAGGTTGTAGAGCACTGAAAGGTCTAGGAGCCAAACAGGCAGCTAAATAACGGTGGGACCTAGAAGCCGACAGATCTCTGTCCCAAGCTGCCTGTCTTCAGTGTCCCTGGCACTTCGTTCCAGTGGTACCTGAGAGTTTGCCAAACTGAAACTGCAGCAGTGCAAATGTGTTAGGATGCACGTTAGTCCTGAAGCAGGTTAAGATTGGTGCTTCCTTGGAGCTCTCAAAGGTGGACTGGATGTGCCACTATGACTCAGCTGTGGCAGTGATATATTAAAAAAAAACTAAAGTCACTTAAGCTGATAGGAATATACACAGAAATATATCTGTAAAAGAGCACTAGAAAGAGAAGTGTCAAGTAGTTCAGTTCATGTTTTGGAGAGCAGAGTGACTGGGAAAAAGCAAAGGGAGAAACTGGGAGAAAAGACTATATCCTTGGAGAGCTTTTTGTAAGAAGGCAGAATTCAGGAAAAATGAGCAGGGAGAGGAAAAGGCTGTGTATTTTACAGGCCTGTAAACTTTGGATGACTCCTCTGCTTTAATTTTCAGTGAGCCTTTGCTTTTCATTCAGTGTGTGCACTTCAAAAAGCCAGTTGTGTTTGTTTATTATGTGGATTAGGTATGTATCTTCTTCTATTTCAGGCCTTTGCTTATGTCCTACAAGATACTGAACATCTGTAGGATCCTGATGATATTATATCCTTACTGATTGGAAAATGAATTGAGAACTGAAGATCTCATTCCTCTATCTTTTACAAAGTACTACTTGAGATGTCAGTGTGATTTTTTTTTTTTCCAATCCAACTGATCATTAAACACAGTTTCTCTCATTCTGAAACCCAGATGATTATATATGATTTACTCATTCACATTTTTAAAAAGTGCTTCAGTCTTTTTGTTTACAGACCTTATAAAGAGCAGCGAAACACACAATGATAACTTTCTCAAATTTTTTTCTAATTAATCAACAGTAGCAGAAGAAACAAACAAACAAACAAAACCATGTAACTGGAAGTCTGCAATTGCTCTTTGTTAGTTGAAGAAATAAAGAACTTACTACCTTGAAGTATGACACGGGATCAAACACACATTAATGGATAAATTTTTTAAAGTTTGTTAAAATATATTTTTTCTGTTCTTACGGAAAAAAAGCGTTCTTTGACTGTAGCTGTTTTTTTGGGTTTTTTCCCCTAAATGTTAACACTCACATCCTGAAATACATATATTGGTATCATACAGACCCATGGGCTTATACTTAGGAATATTAAACTGAATACATCAGAACAAAGCCAGCTACTCAGACTATGCTATCCTTATTTTTGGGTTTGCTTTTCTTAATCAGGTGTATATTTTTTCCCCTTTTTAGAAAGTCACTTCTGCTGGGATTTTCTTTGAAACTTCCACTGGCAGATGTGAGGGGCATCCAGAGAAATAAGGGTTAAAATAACCCCAAAGTTCACTGATGATAAAATTTTTGAATGCCAGGTAAAACAAGAATGTTTTTTTTGTACAGGTTCAGATGTCTTTGTGGGAACAGCAGGTGGGATCTGATGAAGCCCATGATTTGACAGTTCATAAACTTATTGGTGACTTTTTTCTTTATCACTAAAATGGAAGTGAGATGATAATGATGGCTGATTTCTAGTCTCTTGATACTGATGGAGGATATGAATCAAATTGTGCCTAGTTATAAGCTGAGCCCCTAGAAGAAAATTATAATCAAACTCATAAGTGGTTATAATCACTGAGAAACAGAGTAAAAAGCTGTTCAAATGACATCTAGCTGTAGGCACTGTGAACCCTTTAACCAAATCCAAGATTGGTTATTCCTGATTTTCTCACATTTTCTCCTTATGCCTAGGTCTGTTGTTTTCTTTCAGGATGAATATGTGCTAGCCATCTTGTTATGTTTATTTAATTAAGACATTTTTGAAGTCAAACAGCTCGGTTTTAAAATACACATAAATACAAATGTAATGTGAAAGCACTCAGTGGTAGAAAAGTGAGTGTTAGAAATAGAAAGGACAATATCTGTTATCAAATGCAAAAGGCCCTTGGCAAAACCTTAGCCAGCTGTATGGCTTTGATGCCATTGCAGAATCCCATATTGCTTCAAGGCAGGAATGGCAGCAAGGACTCGGCTGTTCCGAGCTGCTGCAAGCTGGGATGAGACCTGTGTGTGAGGGTCCAGGGCTGCAAGACTATGTATGACAAAAACATCCATCAAACATGGATGTTTTCTACCTTCCTGCTTGAGTTTAATACCCAAGGAAGGAGAGAGCTATTGTGATCAGATCAGGAAACTACTGCTGATACATCAAATTTGTGAAAACCTAAAACCCTTTGTAGAAATTAGAAGGATTGAACACATTATTTGCCATTTTACATGGCAATTCACTGTGAAAAAGCAAAAGAATTACTAGCTGAATTCTGAGACAGCTACAAGGAGGTTCTCTGTGATAAGACTCTACTTGTATTGCCGTGATGACACAAAGGTCTGTGAGGAAGTGTCAAACGGTACCAGGGTATGATGGAGTACCACTGTCAAACCACATGGGTGGAGTTGCAGGTGCTCCAGCACTGACCTGTAGACACCGAGTGACACTTGCTGTTTTGCTTAGGTAATTTGTTACTGGAGTTAACGTTTGCTGATCAGAGTGAATGATCATCTCCAGGAAGATGATTATTTCTAATGCGGAATACCTGTTTCTTATGAACTTAAAATTTCAGTTACAGTGCATCAGAAATTTATTGAATGAGATTATGATGGGAAGACATGAGGTAGAACCCATGGAACAGAGATAAAAAGAAGAGAGGACAGTATTTGACAGGAAAGTGAATGGTCTTAAGAGGAGTATGCAGTATAAACGGAAAGCCAAAATGAAAAAGCTTAACATAAAAATGAGAAATAATATGTATTTATTCTAAGAACTAAATTTGTTCTTCTTTAAATTGTTTTGGATGGTTTGCCAAATAAATTATTTGGTAACAACACCCATTGTGAAAGAACCATAACTCTTTTCAGAAGTAATAGCTTTTATCATTATAATTGATTTAAGAAATTGGAATAAATATCTTTGCTTATTAGCATATTATGTAGATGACTTTGGAAAAAGCTGAAAGCTGTTTACTATTTCATGTCAAAAATGAAGTAGTTCTGTCTTCTCAGAAAAAGAATTTAATTAATCTGTGAGGGCTGAGAAACAGGCGGTAAGAAGCGTGTTATTTTCAGAGCTCGGAAGCAAGTCAGCTAAAGTTTTGGGTCTGAATGAATAAAGATATTCTGCCTATGTGTATAATCAGTAGCATATGGCTGTAGAAGATACACTGATGTACAAACAGTCGGCTCAGGGCAGCAACAGCTGGCAAGTATTTGGAGGTAAAGAAACTCAAGACCAGCTAATGTCATTGCACTAGTACCCAACTTTGCTAAGCTATGGAAGAATTAGGAATAAATGATGCTTATCCATGAAGTGCCTTGGGCCTGATTTTTGTATTTTTCTTTGAATAAGTCTTTTCAAATAGGCTCACCCAGGTGTCAGCTGTGAAAAGAAGGAAACTATTTATACTTTCTTTTGTGAAATCTTGTTTATTGCTTGTCTTATTCAAGTTTTTCATTTACTCTTAATTATTTTTTTCTTTTTTATTGCAGGAAGTGACTTTGGCATGGATGGTGATTTCAGCATGGTGTATTTTCAACTCACACCAACTCAGATGTAAATCAAGTCTCTAAATACTTTATGCATCTCTCTAAAAATATAAAATGTCCCCAAACAACCCCAAACTACCATACCTATCTTGTCTGGTTTGGTGTTTTTTTTTTTTTTTTTGTTTGTTTTTTTTTTTTTTTGTGTGAGTGGGGGGAGAGAGAGGAGGCAGCAGACTGTCTTTAACTGATGTGAAACCACACTTTTGTTGTTTTTCTAGACTGAGATATACTTTTTCTCATTAACTCATGCTCATTTATTTACTTGTTTAAAGGAGTAGCTTGGTACTCTGGATCCTATGGTAAAAATTGTTTCACCATTGTTGCAGTATAGTTTTTTCTTATCGTATGAGATGGGGTGGTTCTGAGGGATTTCAAAGACTAGAAGTGAATCTAAAATACTGCTGAGATTCCTTTCTAGTTATTCATTAATTTTACCAAAGTGGATTTTGAGTTGAAAAGTGAGATGAAATACCAAGTGAAGAGATAATTTTAATATGGAGAGGGTGAGACCAATGGTTTTGGAATCACAGTAAATATAGTAGCACTTCTCACTATCTAACAGTATGGTATGTGAATGAAGCTAAGCAATGGCCAAGAATACCCTCGTTCAGTGTAACCGCTATCCGGTTCTGCTATTCACTTTTATAAAGCTCAGCAGGGCTATTGAAGGGGTGTGCTGGTATGGTTTCTAATCACACAGTGCTGTTGAAGAGACATGACTGTCTCCAAACTGCATGAAGAGGAAGAGATTGTTCCAAAAAGAGGCTGCAAGTCCTGGGTGGTTCATTATTTAAGATTTATCAATATTAACAGCGGTCTGGAAAGTTCATAATTCATGTTACTTTCAAAGACAGATCTGTGTGTCAGGATGAGCAAATTAGTTTACTCCCCATTCAGTGTGATTAATAGGGTCTAATTCCTGTGATCCCTATGGTACCAGTTAGCTTAGGCTGTGCTGGCCTTTGAGACAGCTTGCTGGACCTTCGGACAAGAGAGAAGTATATGTTTTTTGTTGTACTTATTTATATTGTTTGAAATAGTAATTTAAATATACTGACAAAGTCCACTGAATATTTACAGAGGAGGTCCTCTTCTGATATAACTATACAGTGACAGCACCTCTAAGATATGTTAGTCCTTTGTTTCCCACATTTGGAGACTGCATTTGGAGACTGTCATCTGCATTAACAGGTGAGGGATCTGCTACAGGCATCCAGCAATTAACGCCATTTGTCACTTTAAAGTACTCAGCTGTCTTATGTTGGCTTGTTGCCTGCTCTTTGCCAACCATCCAGCACTATCCACTTCACTGTGTGAAACAAGCACTGGCAGAGGGATGAGGCTCGTTCCTGTCAGCATGAAGAAGCGAAGAGCTTTGCAGCCCTTCAATGAATTGCTCTGCAAAGCAAACAGAGGGGATTTCTTTTGCAACCTGATTTTTGCCACCCTTGCGCTGAGCAGCAAATTTCCCTGAACCTGGGTAACCTGACAGGTTTACCTGGAGCAGACCTAGTTGATAAGAGTGAGGGTAGAACAATTCCTTGGAGAGTATTCTCATAACCTGTCCTGAATACATGAAATAACCTACATGCATTTCTGCCTCTTATGCTGCACTAATGATAAGGGTCATATGAGTTCCAGGACAGGTAGGAAAACAAAGCAACAAGCAAGCTTACCAGGTGGCAACTCTATCAAAAGATGGTCCTGTTTCAGTGGCTTCTTGTTGTAGAGGAATGTGTGATACCATTTAATAGAAAAAAGCAGCCAAATCCAAGGACAGCTTTACTGCTTCTACAGCTTCTAACTGTGCCTGGGTTTACAAAAGAGACAGAATGGAAGGAAAATCAAAACCGTGGTTTCAAAAATAGGATTGTGTTTCAAATACACATAGTATTTCAGAAAGAATTTTGTACAATATCTTTGTCTGATTTTTATATTCTCCAATGGTGGAGTATATGTATAGGTATAGTATACATTCTGCAGCATTTTTAGTGTGCAGATAGTATTAGCAATAACTTTTTTTTTCTTCAGACTTTTCCATAAAAATGGACTGCAGATGATAACATGTTTACAGTAATTAATATTTCTATATATGTGCATTAATGCTGAGGTACATAAATTCAACTTAAAGCATCTATTTTTTTCTGGTAATGTGCCTGTTTATCTCTTATATTGATTAATGCTGCTGTAGGTACTGATTTATCATGTTTGTACAAGTGTTTATTTTCTTGAAAATATGTATTATATTAAAAAGGTTTTAAGTCAAATAACTACTTATATTTCTGTGAGAGTATTTTAAAAGGATATTACCTTTAGTGACTATTACCTTTTAACCAGTTCATCTCCAAATTATAGTTTCTGGAGTAAAAGCAAATGTAAAGCAGCTGTGAGAACTTCAGTCTACAGGTTTTATACCCAGAAAGAGCATAATTGTCCCAGCTGCATTTTTCTTTTTGTTAGCTTTGTGTGCATAGTTATTTTGGATAGAATTATGGAAAAGAGTTATATCTATATTTTCCTTACTTACAACTCAAATGATAAGTAGGAAATTAGCTTGTAGAAGTTTTTCCTTGATCTTTTCCATACTTCCTCCAGAATAAATATTTAATTTTTTAAAAGAAGAAAAGCATTCACTTACAGAACTGGAAGGGGTTATTCTCTTTTAATCTACAGTGAAATAAAAAGCTATTCAGAGCCATAAATTTTAACTTGGGGGAAAAAAAGTTAGGTGTCTGAATTATATACTTGGCAGATTGTGTCAAGACTGAGAGGCAGATTCTCTGTGGCATAATTTTATTGATTTTTTTCAGCAAAGAATCTGGTTCTCTATGTTTAATGTCTTGGCAGAAACTTATCTGTACATTATCAATAGTAGAAATCAAAAAAGGCTCTGCAGTGGGTAGCATCTTGTCAGAATAGTAGGGGAAAGCTGGGCATGTTCTCAGGAATCTTTACTAAAATTTCTGTATTTCTGCCAAAAACAGGTACTAAAGGTTCTGCACATCTTCAATGGCAATGGTTAGACTGATGTGTGTTGCTAAGAATCAGTGCTTACGTTTGACCTGACATTCTGGAAGAAACGATTCATGCTGTACTTGTTTCTATTCACCTACATTATATACATGGGATCTGAGGAGTTGAAGATACATCTATTTGAAATGTAAGCAAATAAGTAACTTGGTATTATTTACTTATACAGTCCAGGTAAAGCTCAAGACCTAAAGATAAATTTGATCTTCTCTCTCTTCTTTATTGCTCTTGATTTGTAGGAGAGTTCCACACAGGAGAGAAGGTTCCCTGCTGTGACTTTGACTGGGAGTTTACATTATTATTCAAATAGCTATTTATCGTTTTCCCTATAAATTTACCAAAAATATTTTTGGCACAGATATTCTCTTTATGGTTTAGTACATTTTTTTTCACCATTAGTGATAATTGCTAATGACACCGTATCAGTCAGGAAACATACAGAGAAAATTACCTGAACAAAGAATTAAGAACTGGATCCGATGTGTCCTTTTTTGAGCAACATAATACAGCAATGCTCAGATGAGATGATAGAAGAGCTCATTTGACAAAATTATAAAAATTGTACCCAGTCTTGACTAGGCACTGTAGAACTGGGGCTTTTTTGAGATTTCATGTGATAATAGCATCACATCTACAGATAAGAGTTGCACTTTTGGTAAGTTTTTGCAGTATTTCTCTGTATTGTATTGCTAAGACTACATTCTTGAAAATAGATTTTTCCTGACGTTAGAGCTTGCTGACTCTTCCTGCTGTCCATCTAATGTACAATTTTCTGGTTTTAAGTTCAGGGTGCTACATACATTTCTCTCCAAATGATTATCTACTGGACTGAGATTAAGACTTTTAATCTCCTACCTGTTCAAGAATTGATGAGTCCCTCAGTTTCAGGTTTCCTTTCTCTTTTTCTGTTGTGCTGGTATGTACTTCAGCTTCATGAAACCTATTTTTATGGCAAACTATTGCAGTCATGTAGAGTTAAAATATGCAATTAATGAGGCTGTACAATGTATTTCATTCAAGCAAAGTATTGTCTGGCAAAGTAATCACAGCCTCCCTGATACTTGCTTTGTGCTGGAAGTGTGACACTGTTTCATTTAGTGCCAGATGGCAGGTCAGTTGTAATCCATAGTTAACAAACATATACTAGGCAGTAATTTCCTTAGGCTGAATAGCTCATTCTACAGGATGTGTCAGAGCCTGGATCTATGCACATTAATAGTGTTTCACTCTAAATTTCATTAAAGCTCTACTGTACTGCTTAATTCTGCATCCCCAATATAGTTATTAAAAGACAAGCAATTCAAAGGGCAGAACTTTGAAGCAGACCTTGTTTCCAAAGGGCAGAACTTTGAAGCAGACCTTGTTTCACCCCTTGCATCTACACCTGCCAACAGCATTTTATTACAGCGCAGTGAAAGCTGGACAGCAAGTAGACTACGAATTTATCAGCTGCTACTGGCAGCTGCATGTCATTATTAGGGCAGTTATGTAGCTATGAGAACATTTCAGGATGTCTTGCCTTAGTTAGTGATCTGCCCGTGGCATGACTGACAGCAATATGCATGAGGCTGATAAGCAGTTTTGATGGGGACATTCTGACATTGCCTACAGCAAATGTAATGAGAACTATTGTTTTCTAGTAGCAAATAAAATTTGTAAAACCAGGGAGTAATAAAGAGAAGCTCAGAGACAGCATTGTGAATTTCTTATAATAAAAAACTGTAATGCCTACTTCAAACTCCTTGAACCTTTAGAACCAGCCACCAGTTAGCTAAGGCTTTCTTTCTGTTCTTGCCACTCCCATAAAGAAGAAAACAGATTCGTCATCTAGGGAAGATAATAACCATAATATCTTAGGAAAGATTATACTTTCCTTGTCAGGGTAAATTTATTAAGCAGCAGACTCTGTAACAGGCACAAAATCACACCAAATGCTAATGAACAGGCACCCTTCCAACTCTGCAGTTGTGCAGAGGGAGGACATTATTGCTCTGTGCCTTATTCTTCTTCTTTCCTTTTTTCCGTTCTCATACTTCTGAAAGCACAGGTTTTCTACACTGTCAGTAGACACCATTTACAGGCTGAAATAAATGATCACTGCAACCAAATATAATGTGTTTCCATTCCTTTGTTTCTTCTTGCTATTTTTTTTTTTTTAAAGTCATGTTTTGAAACAAAGTACTGGTGAGTTCATGCCACCGTCTTGTGCAGCTACAACTTGCTTAAGTATACTGAAGGCTGCTGAGGTCAATGAGAAGATTCGTGTTGACTCCTTAGCTTTTGAACTAGGCTTTGACTGCACATAATATTTATATTGATATTTAAAGTTAGGAAGAAGCATCACGCATTATATCAGCTAAGATAAGTAACACAAACATTGATTTCAGTTGCTGATAGTTTTGGAGAGATTTAAGTTAATTATTGTTTATTATTTAATACTTTAGGCTAGAACACGAATTAAATTAAATATTTATCTCCCATTGCAGCAGCCAGAAGTAAAGAGAGCTCAGCACTTATATATTCTATCTCTTCTATTGATCTCCTGGGCACCCAGCATAGGTCCTTTTACTTGTCTGAGCTTCTTTCTGCTTCTGCAGGGTGACTCCATGAAGTTAGGTAGTAGCTGCCTGGGGCAAAAATTGATTTTTGTAGGTTTAGAGCCTGGTACAAAGGAGTCATGTACAACTACTGCTAACATGTTTTGCAGTACTGAAAAAGCTTATTATATTATTAAGGTGATTGATATTTAAAACATATGACATATATTTGGTTACATTCCTGTTGCATCCTACAGGAATTTTTTCTCAGAAATTCCATCAAGCCCAAAAGCTTTTGATGTACTGTGGATGAACTGTCACAAGATCCAGCAACACTGCAGGTGATACAAATTCAACGCGTGAATCATGCAATGAGCTCTCTACTTCATGGAGTCTTCAGACAGGTAGGTAGGTGTGGGTCCTGTTGCAGTCCTGGCAGTATGCTTATTAAAAATAGCAGCAGTGCTTCAGGCTCAAATACAAATCAATCTGGGTGATAGGATTTGCAGTTAAACAGGGACAGTCCATTCTACACCCAATGCTTTCACATAGAAATGCAAGAGTGTA